CCTCTTCTTTTGTCCCTTGTCTTCTGTATTTCTTGCTGCTGAGTTTGCATATGAACTAGAAAAATAGGGTAGCTACAACTATGTCGTAACACAGTTTATCGCCTGTGACAGACACTGTCTGGTCACCATGACTGTCACGAACTAGAAAAATAATAGAATTAAGTTCAAGCATGTTACGCTTCTAAAAGTGGAAGAAGTGCTGGAAATATTATTTAGGCTTCATCTCTCTGAGTTTATAGAGAGATGAGGGAGTAGGTAAACTGTATTATTGAGAAGTAGAGATCTTGACTAGAGGACATGGTGGAATGTTTTCTGTTGATAATATTCATTGCGACCTTTGAACAGTAACCTCTTCAGAGACTCCTTCAAGACACTGGTCATGACTTAAAACAAGATTAGAAAACAATTACATTTCTTGCTCTTCAGTCAAGAAATAACTTACTTTGTTTGATAAATATCTCCCGTGATAAATATTTCCAAGGACAACAGCCTTTATCTAGTACCTTCTTTATATCTTTATGGCATATGGTCAGAACAAATGGAATTTTAAAATTGCCTTTTGGCTGTTATCCACTGTATTCTTTTGAGTCATCACTGAGCATATCTTCTGTTTGGTTAGGTATTGTGTTCTGCCATGCTTTTTATTTTGCAATGGAAAATGAAAGGTCATAGATAAATACTAAAAGTTAGGGGAAACAAAAAATAAAGATACACACCCCTATTATTTTTTGTTCTACATGAGAGAGCTACTTGTGGCAGGGAAAAGGGGTATCTTCTTTGCATTTACTTAGAAATTTCTTGATTTATTTTCTGCTTTATTAAAAACAGAAAGAGCTTACAAACGGACCCCGTTTGATGACATCATGCATTCAGAAAGTGCATTCAAATCTTAAATCCCAACTTAAAAGAAATTCCTTGCACATTTTTCCTATTGCTATGGGGCTCTGTCTGGAAAACAACACAGTGTTTAGTGTGTAGAAAGTGTATGTTTTGATTAGCACCTTCTCAGTGGATGCACAGTTGCAGTTCTGTACTCCAGTCTCAGGCCCAAATTCTGAGTTCAGTGGGGTTTTTTGTGGCCCAAAATTCAGGCTGTGCATTTTGCATCAATGTATACAAATATGATCTATCATGTAATTTTAACATTATCTTTCATTTGAATAGGCTTTTAGCAGTATGGATAAATGGGCACTACACTTGGAAAAATCTTTATTTCTTCAGTCCAGCATCTTTGCTTCGACTATTTTCCATGTGTAATAATCCTTAGCTTATGCTGCATTTTAGATACATCAGTTTTTACAAACATACCACAAAATGTGCATGTGTCTTCCTACCCATTTTTTCTGATTCTAAGTGACTATAAAGACATATTAAAATCTGATTAAAAGCCTGTGATTACAGAGACTGAATTTTATTCAATTACCAATGAGTGTGCCTAGATTTATATTTCTAAGTGTCTTTCTAAATGATGTGGATGGAAACTAAATACTTAATATGTTATAACAACTTACGGAAGGCGAGATATATAGGACTAAAGCTGTATTTCTTAAAATGGGAATCATCGTAATACTGCAAGCAAGTCAAAGCAGTTGAATAAATGTTGAATTTAATGGGTTGCTCTCATCCAAATGTTGACAGTATGCAGTTTGCTTAGAATTAAATTATAATCTGAGCTTCATACACACTGGAGTGAATAAATAAAGCCATCATTATAGGAATTGCACTGAGCTGTGGGTACACACTAATGTTGCAAAATTTTTAATGGACAGTAGTGCCATGCTGGGAGCAATTTCATGAGAAACAGTTTCAAACAAAACACCCACTGAGGACCTGTTGTCTGAAAGCATTACTCTTTTTGTCAAACATCTGATCTGGAAGGCTCTAAAAGATATTGCAAACCTATTATAAACAGACTCTTCAGTGTCTGCTGTTATGCCGAAAGTTGAAGTGTGTTATCAACTGAAGCAATGAACGTGTGCAGATTGCAAGAGGCAATTAGGCAGAATGGGATTTAGTCAGGATATAATGCGCTGTATGTTAGAAAAG